CTGGGCTGGGGACGAGCTGCCCAGGGCCCTGTGCCCAGGCGTTCCAGAGGGGCCTCGCGGGGGGCCACCCTGCCCCAGTTTCAGTGAGAATGGACCCTGGTTGTCTTAACTTAGTATTTGCTTGCGGAAGGAAGACGGCATTTTTTCCATATCTATTCACATTGGGCCGTTTGGGGGCCAGGCACCGATCTGTGGCTGAGCCATCTCACCACTGGCTTTGCAGAGGGTGAGGTACCCGTGCGGGGGTCTCATTCCAGGGCTTGGTCCTGTGGGCTGAGCCGACTCTGGCGTCTTCCACCTCTGCCCCCCTTTCTGGAATTTTTTTCCCTTTTTCTTTGAGAGAGAACAGTTGTTTTAGAAAACACGACCCGAACGCTTCGGGGCGCAAGGGAACAACTTTCCCCAGGGGCAGGTTGCAGGTGCTGAGCCTGTGGGTGGCCAGCGGCTCAGGCCTCTGGTTAGTGGTCCTGCTGGTGAGGTGAGGCGGGCGGGGTGGGGCTTCTCCTCTCCCGGGCAGTCCACAGGCCGGGACAAGGTCTGGTTTCCTCGTCCAGAGCTGCTAGGGCTCCCTGCCCTGTGCCCTCACTCCTGGGTGGCTGAGCTGGAAAGGGTCTCCTGGGCGGAGAGCTGCACAGACCCGTGTCCCGGGCATCAGAGACCGAGTCGGAGCTTGTGGGGGTCAGCTTGCTGAGCTGGTCGCCTCCTGGGGGGGGGGCTACCAGCACTGGACGGGAGACCCTGGGGTGGTCTCTGGAGCTGGGCCGGATCTGGAAGATGGCACTAGCGATGGGGCACCCGACAGTCTTCTGTGGGGCCTGTCTCTGCAGACCTCTGGGCATCTGCTGGGGAGCACGCCCGTGCACCTCCCCCTTTCCATCGCCAGGTCTGGGCTTCTGTGCCTGGGAGGAGTGTGGGCTGAACCAATGCGTGCGCACATGCGTGCATGTGTGTGTGTGTGCGTGCATGTGTGTGCGTGTGTGTGCGTGTGTGTGTGTGAGAGAGAGAGAGGGGCGAGGTGGGTGCTGGCAGGAGGGCCAAGTAGGTGACAGTCACCTTCCTGCTCTCTGCCACCTCTGCCCGCTTTCGCGGACACCCCGGACCCGACACCTGTTCACGTGTCTGCCTCACTGTCCCTGAGTACTTACAACCCTTTTCTTAAAAAAAGCATCAGTTTCACAGGACTAATTGGTGGGGTCGGATTGTGAAATGGAGGCACATAAATGAGCCACTCTGCCCGGGCAGCTCAGCAGCTGGATGAGAAACAGCTAATTGTCGGAGACACCAGTCACACCCTGCGGCGGAGAGGGCGAGCGCTCAGACACCGGGCTGTTCCTAGACACCAGGAGCCGCTCGGGAAGCACTCGCTCGGGAAGCACTCGCTCGGGAAGCACTCGCTCGGGAAGCACTCGGGGAGCCGGCGCCGAGGCCCAGCTCCGTCCGTCCTGGCCTTTGCCTCCTCACCTGACGGCGCCACGGGTGAGGCTCTGGTGGCACCAGTCTGAAGAGGTGGAGAAGCCCTTATTGTCCGGGCGAGTGCTGGAGGGCAGGCGGGCACAGAGGCCCGAACACGCCGCCAGCTGGCCTCGAGGGCCTTCCGGAGTAAGGGGCAGCCTGGTCTTGGAGCCGGGAGGGGAACCTTGTTCTCTGCCAGGGCCATCTGGACATTTATAACATCGTTCGTGCGCCGTTCAAAATCACCACTTTAAAACCTGCCTGCTCTATTCGGTCACATGGTTAATGAACTCACCCCTCACGCCTCGGCAGGGCCAGACCAAGTGATTTCTCAGGCCTTCCACGGCCCGCGGGTCGGATGTTCCCCATCCCTGCCTTAGAGAAACGGCAGAGAGCCCTGCCCTTGCTGGGTGGCCATGAGGCACGGGGACGTGTGGGGACTGGTGAAGAGTGATGTAGCCACGCAGCCCGGTCCCAGCGTGGGTCACGTTGGAGACGATGGCTCACCAAAAGGTGGCCCAGGTGCCCCATTGGTGGCTGGGCTGCGTGCCTGTGGGGAGGA